CAGGTGGAGAAAGCTGATCTACTGAGTTAGTTTTCTAATGAATTTCGTTTTACCTGTCAAAAGAAATATTCACCCACCCTGACGCGTTGGAAGGAAAGTTCTTGATCTCATGCACACATCTTGGATATCGCAAAATGTTTTGCACTAATGAGTGAGGGTTTCAGTAACTGCTACAGTTTAAATGCATTCGCGGAAGTCATATTTTTCACAGATGAAGGTTGGTTTATCTTCTCGCTTGGGGTTGGTAGTAGACCTAATTAAATATATCTTTTTAAATGTATGCAGTTTCTCAAGGGGTCACGTTCAATGTCAAATTCATTCAATTACCACGCAGCAGCTGGGATTTTAATTTAATCGCAAACTATACTCCGTATCAGAAGCAGGGATAAGTCAGCTGCCTTGACATTGGTCGTCAGTGGCTAGGGTGCGGGGTGTATTAAAGGAACCTGGCAAATTCTGTTTGGCAGTCGACTTAGTGGACTCCATGCTAAAGCGACTGCCTCTAGTGCTCAAAAATGAAGATGGACGAGATGAAAGTACAATACCTGTCGAATTCTGAGTCATTTCAATGAATAAATTCTAGTTGTTTTCTACTGTGACTTTGTTATTTTACAAGCGATGCACCAGCAACCATCGTCAAAATCGCGAAAACCTACATTTTAATGGCATGTGGTTAATAGAAGCAAAGACATAAATGGATATTATATCAGATATGTTGCGTCTGATGTGGGGCAATATCATATTCAATCTCGTGAATGAGGCTGGAAAAACGAAGCCTGGAGAGGAACAAACGTGATGAAAGTCAGAATGTTGCACGAGTTTGGTCAATCCCTGTACTTTACGAATTCTTAAAACAAAATAATCCGACCGTACATCAAAATAAACTGGCAAACGACCAGCAAGTGAGAGTACAAGATTAAAAAAAATCGCGCAAAAGCTATCCACGACCGGAATCTACGTTTTTGGAATGCAATTGCTAAATGGCAAGAAAAATCGCTTGGGAAAAAAGATTGAAAACAAGTGTTAGGGGGCTGTCTATAATGAAAGACAATATTAATAAAAACCTTTGGATTACTGAATGGTGTTTTCTCGAGTTACCTAATTATGCTTGTGCTATTTAGGCATACACTGTACGCATATATTTCTATCGTTGAGGGACAGTTTGATCCGCCGAAAAGTTCAGTTACATCGGAATGCGTGGTACAGAGAACATATCCATAATTTTACGAATCACTATACGGGTCATTGATCGATATCTAATGATCAAAGGTCATGCAGACTGTAAAATTGAACACGGTTAGTGGTCTGAGAACAGGGTGCAAATTCAACCCAAAAGATCGATCATAGGTATATTGTAGAAAAAATGTCACAGGAGCGAGAGATGGTTAAACTGTCTCATCCATTCCGGTTTCTCTGCTTATGCAAGATGCTGTTCGAAGGCAGCGAGTGAGAGGAATGCAATAATTACTCTGTTGTTTGCACCATGTGCTTTAAAATTCTTATGATCACTGATAATNTATATATATATATATATATATATATATATATATATATATATATATATATTGTAACGACCTTGGCAACTTGCCATTGCGTTTGAGTGTGAGTCGTGTTCATGTCTCACTGGACCACTTGGTTCATGTCGTCTGTATTTTCCTCTCTTGCAGATTGTCAGTTCACCCTCTTCACGGAGAATCTCCTGTCTGTCGACGGTTCCAGCCCACACCTAGACTCGGCCCACTTGCGATTGTCTGGTGTATTCGTTTACGGGGGACATCCTGCGGCACACCCGAGCCAAGCATCTTACAATATATATATATATATATATATAAACGAGGTGCTTGCGCTAGCATGGCTGCCATTGCCTAATACTCTCACTCTAAAATCGGTACTACTTATCTGGTCCAACTGGTGCTTATCATCTACCGGTACACCTTGTAACAGCACTGATCGGACTGCTGCAGCAAAAACTTGCCTCTTAACCGAAAATCCGATGTCACTAGCTCTACAAATGCTACCCATAGTGTCGGTATGCATGTCAACATTTCACCCGAACATAATTTCTGTAGGTTCAGCCCTTGCTCCAATGATTTACCACGATAGGCTTAAGGCCTGCTACTAACCTCGGTATCGCTTGCCCAGTTTCAACGCTAGACTCGAGCAGTACGGATAGAGTACCAAGGGAACGGGGTAGTTAGTCGTTCAACTGTTTGAATGAAACACATCAGTGGATGTTACCAGGAGATTCAAGACGAACAAAGTTAAGCTCCCTGTGTGTGCATATTCGATGCGACTTGTACAACCGATTGGTTGCAAACACTGGACAGATCGATCCAGAGCATTGAGAGCACTTCTGTCTGTGCTTCTATCTATTCGGGCCGCTAATTCTGTTTTGTTCGGCTTTATTTAATCGAATGATGAATGGTGGTGGTACAGTGGTTCAGTTGCTAACACTGGCGTACTTTGGATCCTATGGTCTGTGGTTTGAGCCCCGCCACCACCCGACTTTGGTGGTAGCCAGCTCTGAGGTCGTCCAGTTCTAATACCACACCTAACCTATCTGGACCTTATGTGGTTCGCCACTCCAAGTCCCGCGGGGCTTAGGTTTCCGGTATTCATCACTGAACAGCAGATCCTCGTGATTTTGCGGTTCACCCCGTCTGCTGTCAAACAGACTAAAAAGGTGTGTAAAAAAATCTGAATTGGATCCGTAACGTTTGGTGCTCAGTTGCTTGCCAAATTCGGATTTGTGTTTGCAAACGGTTCACCACTTACCGATGCGACACTTTCGACGCGCCAATTTTGACGATGAGAGTAGTGACGTAAGCAATATGAACTCAATCCCCTCGGTTGGGAAGTGAGAATGAAGCTACGTGACTCCTCGTATGAAATGTCATCTCAATGCACCGAAAAGGAAAACATAAGAATGTTTATTGGGATGGATGATTATAATTTTGTTAATTTGAGCTGAATATCCTTCGGAATTCACCTTCATGCACAATCCTTAGCTCATCTAGTCAACCATACCCTCGGAAGCACTAGACTCCAGCTTCGCTCTTATTAGAGCTCATCAATAGTGCATGTCCAACGTCCGAGATTTGAACTCCGGACCCATTGTATGAAGAGCACGTGCTTTACCACTGTGCCAACCGATTCATTTCATGACTGAACCCAATTGCTAATTCATGTTTGTTCAGATGTCGTCCTCAATGATAGTCAGTTTATTTGGCCCGACAGCAACGAAGGGAAACACACCACTACTCACAAGTCATCGTGAGCTAAATGCGAAGTATAATTTTGTTGTTCACTTGATTGACCCAATCTTTCAGAACCATGCTTGTTGATCTGATAATCACGTGACGTAAAATGTCTGCGCAGTTGGAAAACAGTGAATCCAGGAAGATGGTCAGTTTCAAACATGTTATTCGCTGTTATATGTACACGCTGCGCTAACCTCAAATTGACTCGTTTGGTTGGACAATAACTGATTTGATCAACGGTTGTTGGAATCGAATTGTGTCGGCAACTGGCAAATTGAGCTGAATACGGAGCAAATTAAGGAATTAACTATTAGACCCTTATGGATGAATAAAGTGAATTGCTGGGCACGCAAGCTCAGGAGAACGGAGGCGTAAAATTCTTACCGGACGCCTATGGTGTTTCCGTATGACACCCTCAACTTACAGAAGTGTTGTGTCTCGTCAAAACTATCACCAAACCTGGTCCCACAATGCGTAATTTAACGTTCCTAGTTAACCGACAGAGGCACGACTACGCAACCAGGACCATGGAGAAAACGCCGACCCGGTCTCACAGTGGTGATTGGTCTCAATCCATTTCAAATGCAAATGGTGAGAAATCTCAGGAGAAGGTTAGGCTTTCTCCGGCCAAAACAAAGCAGATCATTATCATTAAAACTATAGGGGAAAAATACAGCCCGGTTAATCCTCTGCATTTTTGAAGGTGAACACTGAAAACGTGGCCAGAAAATGGTGTACGAGGCAAATATTCACAAAATAGAATAGTGTGTGAGAGACCAAGTTGAACTTGCGGAGAAAATCGCGAAACGTTCAGGGGTTTGTGGGAGACAAAAACACAGTGCACAGTTTATTCCAGATACAACACAGATATAATCGAGGGATAGAACGGAACAAAACAGAGATAAGAAAATCGCATACCCTTTCAAAGCCTCGGACCAACGCTCGGCCATAGTGAATGTGATCAGAGGTTCTGGAAGACTGTTCAAATATTGTTTCAATGCTCCCGTGATGGTCATTGTGTCACACGCGTCTAGTAATTCATCGTCTGCTTCCATCAAATTGAGGGCTTTCTATCAGAAGACAGATAAGAAGAAGAACAGACCCAGAAACAAACAATAAAGAAGGCAATTAAAAAAGCACTGCGATTGGGCAGAATTCGCTTATATTTGACTTATTAAAACTGAGTAGTATCCAAAAAAAACATGAACTGTTTTTAAGCAGTTTGGAAATTTGGGAACAAGACTGAAAACATTTCTTGTCCGGTATTTTTATAATATTTTCCTGAACAATCATCACACAATTAACCTATATTAACGAGTTATGCTTCTGATGAAAAATATCAAGTTTTCCGTACCATCAAAATGGTTTGTCGGAACAAATATGTTAAAAATACTGGTTTTATCGCGGCCCCAGTTTAAGGTACTCGTATTTGCAACCGGGTTATCCATTTGAATTGGTCCACTAATACGATAATCCTCTCGAGGCATATTGGGCACCTTGGACGTTTGACCCCGGTCCGAAAGGCGTATGATCCGATGAACTGGACACCGGTTCCCAATGGACTGCAGTTTTCGCACACCGCCCCGCTGCCTTGTGGGTCAGGCCAAAGGTTAGCCAAAGGTTCCGGTTGTGGATTCCCCAAGAAAATTCACTTGCCTTGGCCTAGGGAACCTGGCAGTAGTATTCGGCACACTTGCAAATCGTGGAGCGTTTTTCTTTTTATAAGGATTATTGTACCACGATTTGTTTGGCACACAGTCTGGCATCAGACGTGTGTGAAATATAAATATATACGATAATCCTCTCATTTATTACCTTTTTTCGTTGATATTTTGGTCATGAGCGAACAGACTTAACAAATGTTCAACAGGTGACTGAATGTGCGACAGAGCATAGTTTGTCTGCAATAATCTGCAGAATTTCCTGTTTGAGGATTCGCAGACCGCCCGCTTCTTCGAAGTAGATCCATACACGTGATGGTTTGAAGCTTCGACATTCAGTATGTTCGCTCACACAGTTATTGACTATATCCTTTAAGGTAGGCATTGCGCAATATTTTGCCTTGTATCTTAGCGTTGTGTGCATGCTTGACAACGCATAGACGGACTTGCGCCTTTTCGTGGTTGCTTATTGCCATTAGGAGAATAAAATATAATATCGTGTATTACTAAGAACTCCAGAGTAGCTATTGTTGATTTACGTGTGCAGTACGGTACAAATGGTATGTGCCGACTGCTGAGCACCTCCGCTATAGTGGTACCGTTGGAAAGTTATTGGTGGTAATGCCGCAGCTTTCGTCTAGCAGGGTGAGGTACCTGTTTGCGACAACTCCCGTCTCGACAGACATACCATCGTGCGACTGGTATATCGCCGATTGAAATGAGATACAAGCCTTTGGATTCGGCAAAATTTACACCGACGCGAGAAAGTTCACAACTAAGGTAATGTGATCCCAAATCAATGGAAGCTAGTTTGTTAGCCCAGATTGTGCATGGGCCAATTTTAAGCAAATGCTACTGCTGGTAGTGACTTGAAGATAACGATGGATGTCAACATGTGGTATGGAGTGCAAGCACTGAGAGAAAACACTTGCAACCACTTCACTTCACTTCAGTTATCTACGAGAGGTTGAACTGGAGAGTTCATGAAAAATCCAGGAAAATTTAGCTGGAGTTACACCCACAATATGGTTCGGATTTGCTTCCAGACGAGAGGCGCGTCTGGCTTTTACAAACAACCAAGTGGGGTAAGTTGGAACGACGCGCATCGATTCAGACTGCAATTAGAGTTACTGGATGATAAATATATACGCCACCCCATCTGATGGAATAGTTTCACATGCATGAGTGAAGCCGCATCAAACTGTGGTCTAAGAGACTGATACCTGCAGTTAGCTTAGGTCGCATAACAGGGTCTAACCAATGCAAAATGAAAGCAACTTCGTGAAGCTGTGGGTATTGCGTGACTGGTATGGACCACGACAGCTTCTTGAATCAGAGGCGATACAATAACCGGAAATCCGATACCCCATTAGCAACCTACTCGTTTCATATTAAATGGACACTGGCGAACCACGTGAAAACCGGCAGAATGGAGTGGTTTGTATAAGGTTCCTACGTATCATTTGATAACGGTCAACATCGAAATTAAAACACCTTGAAACAGTGCAGCGTCAAGAATCCTGTAAACTGTTTTCATTCTAGACTTGACCGAAAATGTAATGTATAAATGGTATAACACAGAAAGTTTTGAACACTTCTCGTTATACAATCCCGGTCTGTTGTCCAATTCCATTGGTGACGGCGAAGGGTGGTGGAAGCAGGCCATATGCTCTAACTTGACCTGAGGTATGACGATACATTTCTTTGGGGATCGGCAGACTTCTCAGGTAGTGCATTCCTCAACAAATAGTTTCAACTGTCCCTTAAGGGAAGGGTGTACATTGCGGCAGCTCTCAGTGTTCTCCTTTATGGCTCCGATATCTAGCCTCTCCGTGCGGAAAACGGTAACAGACTTCCTGCGTTGGCATCATGCTTGTCCACAAGCCAGTGATATATATACAGGTGTTGACCAAACTCGTGCAACATCGCCCTCATTTTGAAAACCCATTTCAGCTTGCAATAGCATACTTATATATAGATGGTTATGGGTACAATGTAGTTATTCCTGACTTTATCTCCAA